ACAACATCCGCCTTCTAAATTCAAGTGATTCTCCTGCATCACCCTTCTGAGTAGCTGGGATTACAGGCATGCATCACCACACCCAGCTAATTTTTGTTCTTTGTTTTGTTTTGGAGATGGAGTCTTGCTTTGTCATCCAGGCTGGAGTGCAGTGGCACGAACTCGGCTCACTGCAACCTCTGCCTCCTGGGTTCAAGCAAGTCTCCTTTCTCAGTCTTTGAGTAGCTGGGATCACAGGTGCACACCGGGCTAATTCTTGTATTTTAGTAGACACGGGGTTTCAACATGTTGGCCAGGCTGGTCTGGAACGCCTGACCTCAGGTGGTCTGCCTGCCTCAGCCTCCCAAAGTGCTAGGATTACAGGTGTGAGCCACCATGCTGGACCTTAATCTTTCTATTTTTAGTAGAGACAGGGTTTCACTATGTTGGCCAGGCTTGTCTTGAACTCCTGACCTCATGATCTGTTTTAATATAATTCTATTGAGACTTTTTTTTTGAGACAGGGTCTCATTCTGTCACCCAGACTGGAGTGCAGTGATGCAGTCTCGACTCATTGCAACCTCTGCCTCCTGGGTTCAAGTGATTCTCCTGCCTCAGCCTCCTGAGTAGCTGGGTTTTCAGGAGTGTGCCACCACACCTGGCTAATGTTGTGTTTTTTGTAGAGATGGGGTTTCACTATGTTGACCAGGCTGGTCTTGAACTCCTGACCTCAAGTGATTCACCTGCCTCAGCCTCTCAAAGTGCTGGGATTATCAGTGTGATCACCACACCCACTGTAAGCATAGGTTTTGAAATCAGGTTTCCTGGTTACAATCCCAGCAGAGTTGCTTCTGGGTAGTAAGACTTCGTTCTACTTCCCACTCTATTCCTGTGCTTCAATTTCCTTATCTGTTAAGTGGGGCTAAAGATTCCATTTTTTTTTAGATGGCATTTCACTCTGTTGCCCAGGCTGGAGTGCAATGGTGCCATCTCAGCTCACTGCAACCTCTGCCTCCCAGGTTCAAGTGATTCTCCTGCCACAGTCTCCCTAGTAGCTGGAATTGTAGGTGCCACCATGTCCAGCTAGTTTTTTGTATTTTTGTAGAGAGGGGGTTTCACTATGTTGGCCAGGCTGATCTTGAACTCCAGACCTCAGGTGATCCACCAGCCTCAGCCTTCTAAAGTGCTGGGATTACAAGCAGGTGCCACTGTGCCCGGCTAAGATCCCACTTTAAATATAAATGGTGACAATTAGATGAGATCAAGTATTTAGGCTGAGCATCAGTTCATGCCTATAGCTCAGCACTTTGGGAGGCGAAGGTGGGAGGATCACTTGAGGCCAGGATTTGGAGACCAGCCTGGTCAACATATTGAGACCCAGTCTTTACACAGAATTTTAAAATGAGCTGGGTGTGGTGGTGCATGCCTGTAGTCCCAGCTACTCAGGAGACTGAGGCAGAAGAATTGCTTGAACCCAGGAATACAAGGTTATAGTGTGCTTTATCATCCAGCCATTGTATTCCAGCCTGGGCAACAGAGAGACTCTGTTTCTAAAACAAAACAAAAGATCATGTAGGTAAAGTAGATTTAGAGAGGTTCTGGCATAGAGGGCAGGAAAAAACCTGGAAGCAACCCAAATGTACAATAATAGGGAATTCAATTACTTTTTTTTTTTTGAGATGGAGTTTTGCTCTTGCTGTGCAGGCTGAAGTGCAATCATGCAATCTTGGCTCTCTGCAACCTCCACCTCCCAGGTTCAAGCAATTCCCCTACTCCAGCCTCCCAAGTAGCTGGGATTACAGGCATGTGCCATCACGCCTGGCTAATTTTTTGTATTTTTAGTGGAGACAGGATTTCTCCATGTTGGTTAGGCTGGTCTCGAACTCTCAACCTCAGGTGATCCACCCACCTCAGCCTCCCAAAGTGCTGGGATTACAGGCGTAAGCCACCACACCCAGCCACTTTTTTTTTTTTTGAGACAGGGTCTGGCTCTGTCACCCAGGCTGGAGTGCAGTGGTTGATCTTAGCTCACTGCAACCTTCACACATCCCCCTACTCCCCTGGCTCAAGTGATCCTCCCACCTCAGTCTCCCGAGTAGTTGGCATTATAGGCATGAGCCATCACGCCTGGCTAATTTTCACATTTTAGTAGAACTGGGGTTTCACTATGTTGGCCAGGCCAGGCTTGAACTCCTGATCTCAAGTGATCTGCCTGCCTCGGCCTCCCAATTTACTGGGATTACAGGTGTGAGCCACTGTGCCTGCCAAAGTACATTATGATACATCAGTAATATTACATATAAAAAGCAATAGTTACAATAAACATTAAAATAGTAATTTCTAATGATGAATATTTGCACATATATACCTTTATCTATGTGTTCTTTTTCCCTAAGGAAAGCAACTAGTCTTTCTTCTTTAAGATCAGTTCCAGCTGGGTGCAGTGGTGCATGCCTGGAATCCCAACACTTTGGGAGGCCAACGCAGGCAGATCACTTGAGGCCAGGAGTTCAAAATCATCCTGGCCAATGTGGGGAAGCCCCATCTCTACTAAAAATACAAAAATTAGCCAGTCATGGTAGCAGTCACCCAGGAGTTGTTTGAATCCCAGAGGTGGAGATTGCAGTGAGCCAAGATCACTGCACTTCAGCCTGGGTGACAAAGTAAGATTCTGTCTCAAAAAAAAATTAGCTGGTGTGGTGGCATGTGCCTGTAGTCCCAGCTACTTGAGAGTCTGAAGTGGATCACTTGAGCCCAGGAGTTGCAGACTGCAACCCAACCAGGGTGACAGAGTAAGACCCCCTGCTTTCAAAAAAATACAAAAGAAATAATGAACAAATAAAAAGAAAAAATGTAGGTAAACACAAAGAAAAATGAACTCATCATTCAATCATTCATTCATTATTGCCACTGACATGAGTGGAAATTAACTAAATGCCTACTATATAGCTGTTCTGAAGCAGAGGAGAAGAACCAGACATTTAAAAGTATCTCTGAGGAGATGGAATTACCATTCATTCAAACATCCCTTTCACATTCATTTCAAACATCCCTTCTGGTGATATTTATGATCAATGTTTCCTGAGCATCTACATGCCAGGGCACTGGGAATGCAGCAGTGAACAAAGACAGAAATCCATGTTGTCATGGGCTGATATTCCAGCAGAGGAGACAACCAATGAGCAGTAACTACAGTTAGCAATGAGCAATAAGTAAAACGTAGACAGAGTTGGGTAACATGTGACAGAGATGTTTGCTGCTTTCCTCTGGGTAAGCAAGGGAATTATTTCACTGAGAAAGTGACATCTGTATAAAGTCCCAGAAAAGTGAGGAAGACAGGTGCAGTGGCTCATGCATATAACCCCAGCACTTTGGGAGGCCCAGGTGGTTGGATCATCTGAGGTCAGGAGTTCGAAACTAGCCTGGCCAACATGGCGAAACCTGTCTCTACTGAAAATACGAAAGTCAGCTGGGCGTGGTGGTGCATGCCTGTAATCCCAGCTACCCAGGAGATTTACAAGAACCCGCAGGGTAAAGGTTGCAGCTAGCCGAGATGTTGCCAATGCATTCTAGCCTGGAAAACAAAGTTAGACTCTGTCTCAAAAAAAAAAACTATGTAAAAAAAGAGGGGAGGGAAGGAAGGGAACTATAAGGATACGTAGGGGAAGAGTAAGTTCCAGACAGAGGAAGAGTCAATGCAAAGACCATGAGGTGGGAGCACACCTGAGAGTGTTCAGGAACAGCAAGAAGGTTGTCCAGTGAATAAGATCGTGGAGAACAAAGATGTCTGGCCCCACACAGTGGCTCATGCCTGCAATCCCAGCACTTTGGGAGGCTGAGGCAGGAGGATAGCTTGAGCCCAGGAGTTGGAGCAGCCTGGCCAACATGGCAAAACCCTCTCTTTAAAAATAAAAGAAAAAGGCCAGGTGAGGTGGCTCACACCTATAATCCCAGCACTCTGGGAGGCCCGGGGTGGGGGGTGGATCAACTACGGTCAGGAGTTCAAGACCAGCCTGGCCCATGTGGCAAAATCCTCATCTCTACTAAAAATACAAAAAAATTAGCTGGGCATGGTGGTAGATGCCTGCAATTCCAGCTACTCTCAAGGCTGAGGCAGGAGAATCTCTTGAATCCTGGGAAGTTCTGCTTACGCAGAGATCATGATATTGCACTCCAGACTGGGCAACAAGCGTGAAACTCCATCTCAAAAATAATAATAATAATTAAAAATAAAATAAAATAATTCTAAAAATAGGATGCCTGGTGTTTGTTTCCAATATTTTGACTAGCTACTTTTTAAAAATTTATTTAAAAATTAAAGATCAAACAGTATTAGGTTCCCAGGCTCAGATAGACCAGCATTAAAAACTCATTACCTTCTTTCTATGATGGCAAGTCAGCTATTTCACCCTCTGAACCTCAGTTTCTTTATCTGTAAAACAGGTATTAATGATATTATACCACAGGGTTGTGTATGCAGTTAGAAAAATGCAAATAAAGCATTTATCCAGGTGCTTGGTTCCTAGCAAGTGCTTAAGAGCTATTTCTGGCCATTATTAACCCATTACTCTCTCCCGGCCCCGAACTCCTTTTTGGGGGAAGTTGGGAAATTGGTATCACACGAAAACAGTCTTTTTCCCTTTTTTTTGAGACAGAGTTTGACTCTTGTTACTCAGGCTTGAGTGCAATGGCGCAATCTCGGCTCACCAAAACCTCTGCCTCCTGGGTTCAAGCAATTCTCCTGCCTCAGCCTCCGGCGTAGCTGAGACTACAGGTGTGCGCCACCATGCCCAGCTAATTTTTGTATTTTCAGTAGAGACAGGGTTTCACCATGTTGACCAGGATGGCCTTGATCTCTTGACATCATGATCCACCCGCCTCTTAAAGTGATGGGATTATAGGCATGAGCCACTGCACCGGGCCAACAGTCATTTCCCCTTTAAGGAACTCAGTGGGCCGGGAGCCCACTTTCTCCAAAATTTCCCGTCTGCGCTTGGCATTTTCTGCCCGAATGTCTTCAATTGGATGCTCTGCACCAATTGGAGGCTGGAGCGGGCTTGGCGAGGAGCCCGGTTCCGCCCCCACTCTGGTCCTGCCCACTGCCAGTCAGCTTCGTTGCTATGGGGACTGGCGGGCGATTGGGAGGGGGGAAGCCCTGGATAATCCTTGGAGATTCAACATGGTGGCAGCAGTAACGGAGGTGACAGCGGCTCAAGAGAGCTGCTGAAGGAGGAGCTGAAGGAGACGCGAGGGCGCGGAGTTCCAGGCTGAGCATCTAGGCCATGAGCGACTGCGGCGCCAAGCCGGTAGGATAAGGGGTCCAGCCAGGGGCTTGTAGTGGGTCGGGTGCTGGCAGAGGGAAGGCATTTCTGCGAGGAGGGGGCGGGGCCGCCGGGGTCAAAGTTCACTGGTTGAGGGAAGGGTCACCTCCGAGGGGTCAGGGGTTAACGCTGACTGGAGGGAGGGGTAGTTGAGCTCGGAGGTCAAACTAGCAAAGGGGGCGTGGCAAAGGGGAGTGCAAAGTTTGAAATTCGAATTGGGTGCGTGTTCAAGGGGATCTGGGCAAGTCTCAAAAAAGGTAAGGTCAAAGTTTATAATTTGAGTGGATGCTGCACCTATGAGGGTCAGAGGTCACAGCCATGGGGGCGCCAGGTTGGAAGTTTATTTTTATTTTTAATTTTTTTGAGATGGAGTTTCGCTCTTGTTACCGAGGCTGGAGTGCAGTGGCGTGATCTCAGCTCACTGCAACCTCCACCTCCTGGGTTCAGGCAATTCTCCTGCCTCAGCCTCCTGAGTAGCTGGGATTACAGGCATGTGCCACCAGCCCAGCTAATTTTTTTGTATTTTTAGTAGAGACGGGGTTTCACCATGTTGACCAGGATGGTCTCGATCTCTTGACCTCATGATCCACCCGCCTTGGCCTCTCAAAGTGCTGGGATTACAAGCTTGAGCCACCGTGCCCGGCCCAGGTTGGAGGTTTAAAGCTGCCCCCAGAAGAGCAGATGAATGAGTTTTAGGTTCTGGGGCATCTTTTAGGGCATCAAAGTTGGGGCATGCCTAGAAGGTGCAAAGTTCAGAATCTGACGGCGGGGCAGGTGTTTCCCAGACTCAGAAATTAAAACCCAAGGAGGGGCATATTGCAGGGGGCCGGGGGTGTGGGGGGAGTCCTGAGGCATGATCAGAGATGATTCCTGGTGGCTGGAGAAGGGAGAACCCTCCTGCAAATAATAGGAAACACTAATGAAGCACTTACTATGGGCTAGACCCTCTTTTTAATTCTTTACTTGTATTGGCTTATTCAGTCCTCACTACAGTCTTAGAGGGTCTTAATCTGGTATTAAGAGGTAATGTGGGCCAGGCACGGTGGCTCACGCCTGTAATCCCAGCACTTTGGGAGGCCGAGACGGGTGGATCACAAGGTCAAGAGATTGAGACCATCCAGGTCAACATGGTGAAACCCCGTCTCTACTAAAAATACAAAAAAATTAGCTGGGCTGGTGGCACATGCCTGTAATCCCAGCTACTCAGGAGGCTGAGGCAGGAGAATTGCCTGAGCCCAGGAGGCGGAGGTTGCAGTGAGCCGAGATTGCGCCATTGCACTCCAGCCTGGGTAACAAGAGTGAAACTCCGTCTCAAAAAAAAAAAAAAAAAACGGTAATGTGATTTTCCCAAGGTCACCTGATGCATAAGTTGTGCGCTGGGATTCCAACTGTGGAGTTCTGGCCCAGAGCCCTGCTCTGGCCGACACCTCTGAAATCATCATACCGTCGGTTAATGTTTAATGAGGGCTCACACCGTGCTCCACACCCTGTGTGCAAGGTCTTATTTCACCCCTGCTGCACTCTTGTGAAGTGAGTGCTTAGGATGAACCTACTTTACAGACAGGAAGAGTGAGGCTCAGAAGCTTCTGCTGAAGGCAGAGTGAGAATTGAAGCTGGGCCTGGGTGATTCCAGGGCTCCTGCCCCTGGTTGCCATTTTGTCTGCAGCCAGCCATTAGGTCTTTCCTGGAAGCAGGGGCCTGGGCAGGGCTGGGCCACTCCCTGGACAGGATTGGATTGTCTGATTGGTTTCCTTGGAAGGCTGTGATCTGGCAGGGAAGATTCCTGTGGGCCTATGGGAGTGGGGTCTTTGTGGGTGGCCTGGAGTCCAAGTGAGGGAATTGGATGAGTTTCTGACTGGGGAGGGTGTCCCTGGGTGGTACCCCGGGCAGAGTTGGGTGTTCACTGTTCTTAAAACTCTAAGGTCTCACTGTGGTCCTCAGTCACTCCCACCTCACTTCTATGGCTCTGCCCGTTTCTCCCTGGTCCATTTGCTGTTCTCTAACTCTGGGCCTGTGCCTTCCATCTGTTCTTTGACCTTCCTGTTCCTTCTGCTGGGAATCCTTTCCCCACTCTGTCCTTTGTCACCGACAGGTCGCTCACTCTCAGCTGGCCTGAGACCACCCTGGCTCGCACTGGCTGCAGGCTCTCATTCTCTCATCTGCCCAGCCCTTCCCTCCCTCCTTACCTTGCTTACTAGGGTGCCTGGTGGAATTACTCTGTGGGGTTCCTTGCCTCGTTCCTGGTCCTGCTGAAGCCCTTTCTGGTCTGCAGAGGATATGACGTTGCTGGAAGTTGACTGTTGGGCACTGCGCTGGGTGCTGGGAGTGGGGCAGGGAACAAGACCCACAGAGCCCCTAGCCTCAGCAGGCACTCAGTCCCCCAGTAGGAGCAGAGTGGAACCAGCCTCTCAGCCAGTAATGCAAGGCTATGTCTCTGCCAACAGTGTTGTGGCTTTCGAGGGCATATTCAGGAAGCTGGGGGAGTGCCCGTACCCTGGGCTGAAGCCCAAGTCCCTTTCCTCTGGGAAGGCTCTGAAGGATGAGGAGGAGGGCTGGGAATGGGCTCATCAGGCAGAGCAGCAGTGTGCAGAGGCCCTGGAATGAGTGGAGGGTCCAGAGTTGGGGATCCAGGGCAACATGGAGCCTGTGCAGGTTCCGGGTGAGACCTTGATGGGGCTCAGCCTGGGAGGGACAGTGGGAGCAGGGGAGGGCTCAGGAGTACCGGTGTGTGGAGCTGGAGGCTGTGATGGAGTGTGATTCGGAGAGCAGTGCTGGGCCAGCAATGCCTGGTACGTACCCAGCTCCATAGCTCACAGGGTGCATGAGGACCTCTGTTTCCTCTTCTGCAAAATGGGCATAGCATTAGCACTGCCTCATAGAATTGCTGTGAGGATGCCCAGTCGAGAGCTGTGGCCGAAGGCCCCGAATCCAGTAGTTGCTGTGTAAGCATTAGTCTTGCTGCTGCTGCTGCTGCCCTGCTGCTGCCTCGCTGCTGCCTGGGGAGAGACAGTGGAGGCCCTAGCTCCTCCTGCCTCCTGGCTTTCTCTGGCCGCCACCCCATCCCCACCTGGCTCTGTTGGGGTCAGGGAGCTGGCACACTGCCAGGCAGGCCTCTGAGGCTGGCCCAGACTTCCAGCCTTGCAGTGCCAGCTCACTCAGCATCTCAGCGTCTGGCACAGATAAGGAAGGATAGGGTTTGGGCATTGGAGACCCATATTCAGGTCCTTCCCTTGTCACTTACCAACCTTGAACAAATGATTTCTTATTTGCCACTTTCATTTCTTCAACACACGCTGGGCTAGGGGAAAAAGCAGGGCTTTCAGTATAATGACACTCATGCATCCAGCCAGCCTCTGGCCTGGGACAGAACGTACTGTGATACAGTTAGAGGCCAAGGGTCTCCTCCTCACACCCCTTCCTCCTTCTCTTCCAGGGGAAGCCACTGTCCTGGGTTTGGCAGTCGCCATTCCTCTGCAGCCTTTCATGCTTTTACTGCCTTTGGATGTATTCAACAATAGCTCTTGCCTCTGGCTGCAGAGTGGAACCCCCCAGAGAGCTTTGAAAAGATGCTTTGACCCAGGCCCACCATGGAAATTTTCTTTCCTACTTACTTGATCTGGGCTGGGGCTGGTCTCAGTCTTTTGGAATCTCCCTGCCTGGGCAGTTCTTATGGCCAGTGGGGGCTGCCCATCATTGTTTCACAGTTCAGATAGATGGTGTCACCATAAATATGTCATTCTACAACTTGCTCTGTTTGCTCAACATTATAGGGATATTTGAGATGGAGTCTTGCTGGGTTGCCTAGACTGAACTCTAACTCCTGGGCTCAAGATCCTCTTGCCTCAGCCTCTTGGGTAGCTGGGATTACAGGCGCACACCCCAGGCTTTGAACTGAACATTGGAGTCTGGCTCTCTCTCCATGGGGATGTGTGGCGGTCTGGGCCAGGCCATTCATTTTTTTCTGCTGCTATTTCTTTTTGTGATGGTGTCACACGGGAGTTGGCTCTTCACCTGTGGTTTGCCACTGAGGTGGTCTCCTGTTGGGGCTGTAATGGTGTGGTGACAGGCCTTCTGGAACATGTGTCCCTGTAGACCATGGCCAGAGTCTCTCCCACACATACCTAGCAGTAGAAAAGCCAGAGCCCTTTCCTTGTGGTTGCCAAGTGGTGCCTCCAGCAGCTGGACCACTGTGCTCCCAGCAGGCTCCAGGCCTACCTTCCTTCCAAGTCCTGCTTTGCACTGCTTTGTGGCCCTCACTGAAATGATTTCCTTGGCCATGAGATGGGGGGTTTATGGACCCACCCACCCACCAGGCTGGTTGGAAACAGATGGGGAGATGGTTCACATGACTGGCTTAGCCAGCATTTTGTCTCCACCGAGTCCCCACACTCAGAGGAGAAGGCAGGCTGGGAAGGCTATCACCTTTACCCCCTCAGGCATCCAGGACGGTGACTGCAGCTTTGCCCCAACTGTCCTTGGGAACAGGTGCAGGGACTGACAGCTGGGAAAGAGAACTGTACTGACTGGAACCTCTTAGTAGGGAGGACAGAGGTGAAAGTTAGAGACTGGGTGAGGCCTTGTAACATTCTTTCTGATTGTTGGTCCCGGCGGTAACCAGCACAGCCCAGCTCTACCCTTGTAGATTATAGTACAGTGAAGGAGACAGACTTGCTGTCCTGTCAGTGACAGAGAGGCCAGGGCTGTGAAGGAGAGGCCTAGGTGAGGGGTCAGGGTGGGATGGGGGGCCCAGGCAGAGGGCTCAGGGTGGGATGGAGGCATACCCAGGCAGAGGGGTCAGAGTGGGATGGGGGCGTACCCAGGCAGAGGGGTCAGGGTGGGATGGGGGCATACCCAGGCAGAGGGGTCAGTGTGGGATGGGGGCGTACCCAGGCAGAGGGGTCAGGGTGGGATGGGGGCGTACCCAGGCAGAGGGCTCAGGGTGGGATGGAAGTGTACCCAGGCAGAGGGCTCAGGGTGGGATAGAG